AGGGTCTGGCTGACGATCTAAGACACGATCCTTGCAATCTCTATAGATCTTGACTGGTTCATGGGGCCGGTCCTTCGATGGGGAGATGTGAAGGAGCCACGACTTGGTCGTCTCCGGATGGAGGAGGCTTTTACCCTTGCTGAGCCTAGACTGGACTGGGGCACTATGGCGGGAGTGCACTGGCTGGTTTGGCTAGGTATGCTCAGCATCCTGGGTAAAGTCGTGTTGGGAGCCCTGAGGGTGAGTTCTCTCCAAATTACACTTCAGCGTGCAGTAGTCATGCTCCAGCTCAACATTCTTTGTATGAAGATGTTCGTACTTCTCTGACATCTTGGCAACGCTGGCGCAGAGGAGCTCTACTTCTGCCTGGAGATTGGTATCTGCTGAAGGTTTCCTTCGGGAGGTACCCTCGCGAAGGGTATGGTGCTGAGTATCATGGCTATCCTCGGTCGGCATAGCAGAGTGTGGGGTGAAGAGGAGAGGCGAGGCCTGACGGGAGAAAGAGCCAGCTGGGCTGGTAGAGAAAAATGGGATTCAAAGGTCGGTTCCCATAGACGGCGCCAAACTATTGATGCTCTTTTTGGGAGGTCAACTTAGAGAGAAGGGGGTAATCTTCAGTAAGGAAGAAGGTGAGGACCTTCGGTAAGAGAAGAGCCTGCATAAGACAAAGTAAGAAAAGCAGTCGTTAAGCTTCGGACACCGATGTGGTGCCGGCTGAAGGCTCTCCGATGCTTAAGTCAGTTAAGAGTGGTAAATTTGGCAGAGTAACAGTAAAAGTGATAGAGAAGTTACCATTTTTACTTGGGTACTGTTCCCTATTTATAGGGAAGTGAAAGTTGGTGGTTTGTACAAAGTTTCGATGTGGGACTTTATGCAAGTCGCTCTGGTGGTGACACATGTCTTGGAGATTAGGTTCGGCAGTCAAACGCTTTGGCAGTCGGGAGCCTTGGCAGGTGTCTGGCACCTCAGAAGAGTGTCTTCCTTCGGCAGGGGAGAAGGCATGTCTGCCTTGGTGCTAGTTGTTTTGAGGCTGGATATGCTCAGTTGATTATGATGTAAACAAGTTGTATGCGCTTGGAATGCTACTATGGCATAACCAAGTTTGGTTAGAATGTCTCCACTACAAGAAAATTGGCTAATAATCTTTTAAATGATTTTTTGGAAAATGAAAGGTAATTAGAAATTGTTATTTTTTTTTTAGGAATATAATACACAAGCTATACACTCACTTATTATACAAATATAAATACGAGAATTAATATATGTCAGTCAAATCCAACAAAATAATAAAATATTATGATTTGACATGATGTTTAGCTCTTAATTGCAGCTATAGAAAGTTAATAATTTGTGTCACCAAACTCTCTCATTCGTAACAAAGAGCAAAAGTTACGGACGCATATGTAACGAACGCTCTAATTGTAACTGCATCGTGACTGTTGGCTTTTGTCACTACAAATCGTAATTAATAGGAGCAATAGTCATGCAAAATATAGTAACTATTGCCCCTTTTTTTTTTTTTTTTTTTGTAGTGCTCTCTCTCTGTTCAAAAGCAATTCTTTTGAAACCTAGCCGAGTGGAAAATGGTATTGACTTGCAGACTAATCTCATATTCGAACCCCCATAGCACCTTGATAGTGTGTGTGAGAAACTCCCCTCCCCTTAAGACTATGGCTTGTACTATAAATATAAAAACAAAACAAATAGACCAACTCTATGATAAAGTAAGTAAAAGAAAAATGAACTTTACCATTTGGTTGGGTTGTGTTGACTTGTGATAACTTTATTAATAAGCTTGAAAGTCTTGGTAACATGTAACGTCAAATTGTAAATATGTCAACTAAGAAATCATAATTTAATCCCTCAATCTTGTAAGTCTTTATGGTGGGCACTAAATTATATCTAGCAAGTTATAATGATCTCCAGCTGACAGAAGTTTTTGGCATGAATCGTTCACATCATGAAGGAGAATGCAAACATCTAGTTGGTTAATACACAATAACGATTCAATTTGCTCAATTTGGCTTTCAATTCCAAAACGAGAACCAGTGCCTATCAACCACAAAAAGAAATAAGTACAAAATTTCTTGCAAAGCCAAACTGAATTACAAAGAAGCAAGACAAGCCAATGTCGGAAATTCGAAAACTACAAGGACCATTATATCTGAATTACAAAAGTTTTCATAAAACTAAACTGAAGATCAAGCTTGACAAAAATAAAAAAACAGCTTTTTGTAAGATAAAGTCAAGACATTCAAGTTTGTGGTTCTCTATTCCTCTCAATACTTTTTCCCAGCAACCAAATAAATCCAAGTGAAAAAGACTTCTACCTTCCAAGGGCGCCAAAAAATTCTTTCGCCCTTTCCTTTTTCCTTTTCAATTGTCTCAGGACGTAGTTCACCATGTCATTCTTTCTATCCTTCCACTTCCATTCCCTTACACACAAGGTGCCGAAAATATCACTTCCACTTGCTCCGTACTCATCACGATCTCTCTTGATTTTAGTATCTTCCTCTACTTTTGGTATGCTTGCAGGTAAGCTCCTGATCATGGTTCCACTCAGATCTATATTCCGTAACGAGGTTAAGCAAATGAGGGAATCAGAGATCTCTAATATACCACAGTAACTGAGGTTTAGTTCTTCCAAAGAGCACAAACCAACTGAGAAGGAAGGCAAACTTTTAAGTTTCAAACAGCCACCAAACATGAGAGTTTTAAGACAGGTTAAGTTGTAGATGCTATTTGGGACAAACTTAAGGTTTTTGCACCCATTGAGCTGTAATGTTTGAAGCCCCATTAGATTGTCAATCGACGAGGGCAGCTCTTTAACCGCTGTTTGTGACAAACTAAGAAAGTTTAGATGTTCCATAGGCTCCAAGATTTCTGGGAAGTATTCAAATTTGAAGCAACCAGTGAGATCAAGTCTCTCAAGAGAATTCAACTTATGAAAGCTCGTTGGGAGTCTTGCAAACCTTCCACAATTTTGCAGTACAATTTTCTTGAGACAAGAGAGATTCTCGATTGATGAGGGCAATGCTTTTATTGCTGTCTCAGACAACTCTAACTCCATTATATTGCTGGGAAGCTCCGAAAACTTGCCAAGAGATGAACAGCCCTGGAAACTCAAATTACATAATTTCAGCTTACAACTGCTGCTGGGTAGATTCTTAAGGTCTTTACACCATTGAATATCCAAGCAAGATATTTTTTCATTAGACCACACTGATGAAGGCATTTCCTTTATTGCAGTGCTACTCATATCTAAGTATTCAATATTTCCTGGCATCTCTGGAAGCGATTCGAGATTCGAGCAGCCTCCCAGGTTAAGATAAGTCAGCTTGTCAAGATATTGGCAATAAGAAGGAATTTGAACCAAACTTGTGCAGCCCTCAAGATTTATATACTCAAGTTTAGGACTCAGAGAGAAATCTGGAACTTCAGTAAGATTTCTGGAGTAACTAAGATCAAGTACTTTTAAATTCCCAAGATTCTGTAACAAATTAGAGAGAAAAGACAAGAATTAAAAACTTACCCTGAATAACTTTCCACACCACATTTTCTACAATAACTAAAATAAACATATAGACCTACCTGGTCTTCATTCCAAAGTAGTTCAACATTGCTGTAGGACAGTCGTAGCTCAACAAGATTTTCTGGAGAAAATTCTGATGGCAAAGATTCCAATTGATATCCCACCCAGCAAAGATAACGAAGAGAATTTGGAAGAGAAACATCTAATTCCCAGTAATTCCCAAAGCTAGAATTATCAACATTAAGCAATCTTAGATTATACATCCTTTTGAAGTATGCACGATTCGAGTGTAGCGGTCCAATCTCAGACATGTTCATGAATATGGCTTGAACCGTTGCAGTTCCCTGACAATCAAGAGCAAAGTACAAATGTCAAAACACTAAACAACAAGAACTTTGTTAGATTTGGAGACATCTAACTTATTTATAACAAAATGAGTTTCTTTTCATAGAAAGTTCATGTTTTTTAATTTTTAAGAAAGTGAAGGAATATGGCTCTTACTGTATTGTTTTTCAACACGCGATAGACATCTTCAGCCATGAACAACCTACTGCGTTTTCCGGGCTCTTCAATACATTGTTCGCGAACAATTTCCCTGCCCATGTCTTGTAGCAAATCATGCATTTCTATGGTCATGTTTTCTGAAATTGATACGAGAGCCTTATCAATGAGAACTCTAATTCCCGCTACACGGAAACCACTAGCATCTAACATTCTTTTGACAATATACAATGTCTGCACTTTATCAAAACATGCTATATCAAGAAATATCTCCTTCTCATTTTCTTCTAATCCATCAAAATTTAGCCTCCACACTTTCAGGATTTTTTTGCTTAGAAATTTTTTCAAATTGACCAATTCATCTAGCCAATCTTCTTTCCTCTCACATTGAATGAATGAGGAACCTAAAATTTGAACAGCTAATGGAATGCCTCCAGCATAACCTACTACCTTTTCGGCCAACTCTGTATAATCTGCTGTTGGAGTGTTATTTTTGAAAGCATTCAAATGAAAAAGCTGAAGAGCTTCATCACGTGTTAATGCCTTAACCTTGTATATCTTATCATCTTCAACAGTTTTCTTAAGTAGGCTCCTATCTCTAGTTGTTATAATGATTCTACTTCCAGGACCAAAAAGAGCATGATCTCCAGCTAAAAGTTCTATTTGGCTTGAGTCATCCACATCATCAAGAACAATGAGGACCTTTGTACGACCTAGCCTCTTTCTAACAAGATCTGATCCTATAGATGGAGTGTCGATATTTAGATTCTCATCATCTAATATCTTCCGAACAAGTGTATTTCTCAAGTGAATTAGTCCATCTTTTTCTTCTGATTTCACCCTAACATTTGCAAGAAAACAACAAGCTTCAAATTTAGAAGAGATTCGGTGAAATATAGCATCAGCAAGAGCGGTCTTGCCAATACCACCCATGCCCCAAACACCAACACTGCAAACATCTTGTGAATCAATGCATAATAACGATTCGATTTCCTCAATGCGGCTTTCAATTCCAACCAAGCCCTTTAAATCACTTGATGTTTTGCGATTCAATTTGGTCAAAATATCTTTCACCACTGTCTTAACTAAATCAGACTCCAGCCTGAAATATATGATTATATGAAGGACAACCAATGGTTAGTAAGTACTGATGAAGTGATATTCTACTGAATCAAACGGTCACAAATAGGAATTAATACAAGTTACAGAGAGTTAATTACCCAATTTTGTTTGAATCATCAAACCCTGATATTTTGGCTGCTTTCCTCAAAGCAAGCCTCCACTCGTGAACCTTGTCCATCTTGTCCTTGAAACGTTCTTCATGTTGAGCAAATGCATCTGCAAAACTACCCTGCTGTTTTCGTACATCTGATGGATTGATGTCATAAAAAATCGGTATAACAAACTGCCCATCTCTTTCCTTGCATTTTAGTATATGCACAACTTCATCCAGACACCAAGTGGAAGAAGCATAGTTTTTTGAGAAAATAATAACTGAAAGCTTTGATTTCTCGATTGCTTCGAGAAGGGCAGGAGCAATTTTATCTCCTCTTTCAATTCTGTAATCTATGTAGGTCTCAACTTTCTTCCCAAGTAAAGCAGCATGAAGATGGCTGGTAAAAGTACTGCGGGTGTCCTCACCTCTGAAACTAAGAAACACATCATACTTTTCATCCATAACCTGTGCAAACTCACAAGTCAAAAGAACATGCAAATTAGTTGACATCGTGATGCGAGAAAATACAACTTAATGATCTTTTTCTACAATAGAAATATAAGAGATTAGGACTATGTATGATTAAGTTAGAGAGACAGTAAGTGTTTTCGATAGAGAATTCTCCAAGGATAAGTCAGTGAGATTACCTCTAGATCAAGAAACAAGTTGCAGAGAGATTAATCGCCTTGATTACGAAATATTTACAAAAAAGATTGAGTTGCACCTCAGTAATCGGGATCGAATTAAGCAAGAGATGTCAGTAGAAATAAGTTGCAGAGGGACTAATGCCTTAATTATTTGGAAGCAACACAAGATTTAACATCGTCAGAGACTATTATTATATATGGTTTTAGCAATTGTAGTTTACTATATATATATATATTAAACGCTGCAGGAAATTACCCCACAACTTCCTGCTAAGAAACACTCATACATTCGACCAAACAAGCATGACCGGCACCATTTTATTTTTTATTTTTTTGGTCAACAGAGCTTTCATTAGAAAAAAGCCCAACAAATAAACAATAACAACAACAATCCAAAGGATGTTTTTATTATTTTTTATCAGAAACTCAAAAAAAAAAAAAATTTATTTCAAAGGATGCATTCTGACCAAAAAACAACTCAAAGGTGGGGCCCCAATAGCAGTGGGAGTGTTATCCAAGACCAAATCTGTAGTAGTGTGCAGACTCATGAAGAAGTCTCTTAGTTGTAGTAGTATCTTGTACAAACACCATTGATGCTCTTGCACCGCAAGTTTTTGTTCATCTTCTTGTTCCTTATATAAGAGCTGAAGAGATTTTTCGTCCCAAAAAAAAGAGCTAAAGAGATCACTTCCTGTGAACTCATAACCGTCCCTAGTTATTCAATTTACCTACGTGAGAGAGAGAGAGAGAGACCTATTTTTCTTCATCTTCATCTCTAAGGAATGATGACGTTGTTGCCATGCACATAATTCTAATCAGCCATTATGTTGGGCCATGCATTTTAAGTTGCTTTCTAAGCCCTGGATCCAAAAACTTCATATCCATACCACACCAACCTTGTGTGAGTGTGTAGTCCTTGAACTTGACACTGACTTCAGAGATGTGCATCCATATGTGGGCTTCAAGTGAATGTAGGTGTTCAGTCGTCATTTTACAAATAGGCCTAGTCACGGCATCTATCCAACTATCACGAATTAGGCCGGGGTTAAGTTCATTCACCCATTAAAGGAAGAGACTGCAGCCACTAGACTTGAGATATTCAAATCAGAAAATTCAAGTGCGTTGTGGACACGGTTTGGCAGAGCATTAAATGCTATTTAGAGAGCTTCACCAAATTTCGCTCAAATTGATGGGTCTTTTTACTAACTTCCACCATTTCGAAGCCACATTTCCATGCTTAATTTCAGCAAAGATTGATGGATAGGCAAAAGAAGAAATAACCATGCTTGTCACTCTGATATTGAGTTACACTACATTAGAGTATCCATAATGATGATGTGTAAATTTAGGGGCGTAAAGCCATTATTACATTTTCTTTACACCTTTTGGATGTAAATGTAATTTTTGCTCAAATGGGGAAAATGTAAATCGAAATATGTATATTCGATCTTTTTGTGTTACTCAAATACAATTAAATCTGGACCTTTGATTTTCAAAAAGAAACAATTTGGGCCACTCATTTGGTGATCGTTGGAAGCTATATTCTTTCAATTTGCACTTTGTCTTCTGTGAGGCTCGCCACTTCGCTTTCTTCTTTTTCTTTTTTCTTTTTTTGGAGAGTATGCTTCTACTTGTGAGTACAGAGAAAGTGGCATCACCTTTTGAGCTGCTCTTCTCTCTCCTCTCTCCTCATTTCTTGCTTGTGAGGTCCGCAAAAATGGATGTAAATTAGCATCTTCTTATACACATATAGTGGCCAATGTAAATTTACAAGCCTTTACATCCTCTCATTGGCACTGCAGCAACTTCTCAGTGACAATAAGTATAAATTTAGCATACATCCACCTTTACATACTACAATTATGGATGCTCTTACTAACCCAATATACATTTGAGGAAAATAAAAGAAAATTGTGGCATATGATATTAAATTACCATTGCAATGTTCATTTATGCACCAAAAAGGATTTGAATAAACACTTAGGGCTTGTTTGGTATCCTATTTGGATCCAATTTTATAAACTCAAAAACATATTTTAAGTCCAAAGCCACAAAATCCCGTCTGGTAGATCCATTTTTAAAAACTCAAACTCAAGAAAAACTCAAAAACGCCCCCATTATTAAAAACAAAAAAAAAGTGAAGTTTTATAGTCTCTCTCTCTCTCTCTCTCTCTCTCTCTCTCTCTCTCCTTTTCTTTTGTTAAAATTCAATTTGGGAATCTAGGGTTTCTGATTTTTTTGCTTTTAAATTCAAGTTTTTTAGATCTTAAAAATAATTTGGAGTTCAATACCAAACAAGTTTTTAGATCTTAAAATCACTATTTGAAAACTCATGTTTTTAAAAATAATCATCGTTTTTAAATTTACTTTTTTTAGTATGATACCAAATAAGGCCTTTGAAACTTCCACATTTTTTCTTCTTCTTATTCTACAATTTTCACGCAATTGTTTTTGGCTAGCTTCACTAAAAATAAGATTTAATATTGAATTTTAATGGTGGGTTGTGGGCCCTTTTTCAATATTTTTTTTTATTCTCACATAAAAGTTAACTAAGGTTAATTATAGAACATGTATCACCTTTTAAGAGTGGTGGTGAACATATACATTTGGTTAATGTGGTGAGTGAAAATACTTCCATTTCGCTTTCCTTTGATGGCTTCCCACATGGCAATCTTTCTCTTATTGGAGACTTGGACCTCAGCCCACGTGCCCCGAGTGTTTTTTTCTTTCCAAAATCCATACACAAAGGACCAAACTGAATTTTCACATATTAAATGAAAAATGGGACAGCTGATCGGCTTTGGATTTGTTTCCTTCTCTAAAATCCGTGTTACAGTGTTTATTTATAGGATTTTTAACCGAAATGGTCCCTCAACTATTTTTGTTTTTTCTAACCGATTAATGCTTGGGCATTCAAGGACTTCTCCCTGCGGTCGAGCCCCAACTTAATTTTATTATGTTAAATGTATAAATTAGGTTTGGTAACAAATGTAAGAAAATTTATTACATTTAAGCATCCTTCGTGTCTCCTCCCCCACTACTAATCATTTTTGGTCAAAATTGCATTCAGAAAGAAAACCACAAATTTCAATCTAGTATTCTTATTTGTAATAATTTATCCAATAAAAAATGAATATAATTAAGCATTTTACGTTGGTCCCCCAAATACAACATTCTTCCTCCGCCCTTGGTTCAAGCGCTAATTGTTAGTAAGTTCATAGGACTCTGATCACTCGTTTGAGTTTACTCTACGATGTCATCCCATGATCCAAGTCGTTCATTTTTTAAGTCATCATTCCAAGATTACCTTGGTAAAAAATTAGCAAAATTGGAAAAATGTTTATCTATTTAATTATTTTCGTGAATATTCAAGGTTTATAGAAAGTATTGTATTCATCCATTTATTTGATTACCGCCGTTATGTACTTTTGTTTTTAGCCGTTGGATGGCTTTTATAGTTTAGATTTAAATATAACTCATTTTATACCCAACTGATTTCTCTCTCTCCCCCTTTCCTTTTTCCTCTTTTTCCTCTTCCACGCGAGTTCACTCATCTTTCTCTCTCCCTGGCAAAAAATGACCAAATTGAAACCACAACGACCTTAATGGTAAAAGTGATAAACCAAAGGGACCAAAAGTGATGTTTTGCTTTTTTTTTCTTCTTTACCTCCGCCATATATTTTGTTTCCTTTTCTCTCTTTTTCTTCGCACCCCAATTCTATATGGTTTAGTAAACAACTTCAATAAGAATCTAAATCTAATTATATGGTTTAGTAAACAACTTCAATAAGAATCTAGAATCCAATTCTCCTCAATCCAACTCCTAGGGATTAGTAAGATGTCTGAGTTTGGCTTGACTCTTAAAAAGTAATATACCTTGTGATTTACAATGAAATATTTAAACCTTACATAAAAAAAAAAAAAACAATTTTATAACTTTTTTTTTTCTCAAGCACATCGCATTCAAGCCAACTCATATTTGCCAGAATTGCAGTCGCATTCAAAATAATTATGATTCTAAATAAATATAGTGCTCTGTTTTAATTATGTGATGTAAATAAAAATTCCTTAATAATATAATGGAGTTAATAACATTAACAAATAAAAATTCCTTAATAATATAATGGAGTTAATAACATTAACAAATAAAAATTCCTTAATAATATAATGGAGTTAATAACATTAACATATCATCTGGCAACAACAACAATCGAGTAAATGAAAGTTTTGAAAGAAATCTAAATCCAAATGAATCACCAAATGGGAAGAACTGCAATAACTAAGCCAGCAAGGAAAGCCATAACAGAGGCGGCAGTCTTTGAAGCGGAAGCAGGGGGTCCTTGAGGTGTAAGCCCTGAACCTATAAATAATAAAATTAGAAGAATGCTGTAACTAAATTCTAATGCTTTTTTTTTTCTGGGGATATGTATTATTATAGCTTTAATTAAAAGCAAAAACATACCAGGAGAGTTAGCTGGCGCTTCAGAAGCTGTGGGAGCTCCCACTGGAATTCCCAGAACTGTAAAATTCAGCCAAAAAATAATAATTATAATTATAAAAAAAAAGGTTAGTATGACCAATTGGAGCAATTTATATGTCAAGTGATTTTTAGCTAACCGCTCAACAAAATATCAAAAGCATTTTTATGTGTGACAGTCAAATATTAAACTACTTCTTTATAGAACCGCTATTGGCATAAGCACCACTTACATAAGCACTTCTGAAAAAGCATTCTCAAACGAGTTCTTAGTAACAAACCTATTGTATTCTAAGGCGTCAATGAAAATGTTGCAGTGAAACTCGTTAATTTTTAAACTTAGATTTTTCTATGGTCAACTGTAAAATAGATACTGTAAATCACTTTTGGCCACAAATTTGTAAGCAGACTGAAAAAGAAAATATATATTTAAAAATAATTAAGCTTTAGGCTGTACCCAAAAGAAAACAAAAGGATCGTGTCGTTTATTCTGATTTGTGTGGACAGAAGAACAAAGGCCAGGTGAGTGTTGGTTTCTTCCATATGGCGACATGTGATGAGAGAAAATTTTCTGGTAGGAACCATTAAGGAGATTGTTGAGAGCATTGTAATGGGGTAGGTTGGCAGCTGTTTATCACGCACGTCATGACGTTGATTCTGTTTGTAAGGACATTACTGGAGGAAAATACTTGGCTCATAAAGCTCTTCTTTCTAAACAAATCACAGTCGGATATATATGCGTGTAATTTAGTAGTATAACTCGTCTATTTATAATAATATAAGTGGATCGATAATATATCCTCAAAGTGGAAAATATCAATCATATCATCTACTTATATTATACAACGTAAATAAATTACACCATGTAACTGTACTACGATACCATACAATAATTTTCTCACGAACGAAATATATATAAGGTGACGTGGATCATTTATTTTGAAATATTTTCAGACGAGTAACTAATTCATTATGAAATGTATTAGACGCATCATGCTACTACATTCCAATAAACAGGGCCACCAACTAACCCAATGGAAAATTTAAAGTCTGAGATGGAGGCTATCTGTCCTTTTCTGTTCATTAAATAAACACAAAGTCATGTACCCAAAAAACAAAATAAGAACAAACTCGGTGCTCTTGCTCTAGATTTGGTGCCTCTCTTTTTTTCCCCCGTAATTATTTTTGGGCACTTTTAGAAAAATATCATCAATATGATTCAGCAAATTCTAAAATTTATTTTTCAAAACAGAAAAGGAAAAGAAAAAAAAGGGAAATAGTATTATGAATTTGTAATTTTCAAAATACAATTATAAAAAAAAAAAATTGAATACCTGAATAATACAGGAATAATATTAATACGTGTTATTAATTAAAAAGAGAGTCAAACTTAAATAATGCACATATGCACTAATAAATAAACAAATAATATTTCATAGTTACTGAAAATTAATTCAATTATTTAGCAAAAAAATAAATGTTAATTCAATTAAAAATTAAAGGTAGCTGCGGCATCAATAACCTACAGAGAAAGCCAACTTGGTAGTTGATATGAGGTAGAGTGCACGTTTTCATTGTAAGAAAAATAAGCCTACGTGCAATGCAAAATTATTAAAAATCTAATGAAGATTCGGATCCGCTATCAGTACAGCAGATTAATTTAGAGTAATTTAAACTATCGCTTGTATAAAATAAATAAATTAAATTAAGGAATTAAATTAGACGTACGTGCACAGGTGCTCGGAGGGGGCGTCTGAACCTTGCAAACAGTGGGAAGCTTAAGAGCCCTGTTGACATCAATTTCAATGCCGACGCTGTTGCTGCTGTTGCTGTTGGCCAGCAAAGTGCACAAGCAGATTGGGTTGTCTTTCACGAGCTCCGCCAGCTCAGGGCAGCACGGTTTGTCCGGCTTTGTCAAATTGCTGCCTGGCGTCACATACGTCAGGCAATCCGCCATCCCCAGAATGGCCGTTTGGCAATCCGGAGACGCCGGCCCCGGAGCCGAAGCCGGGGCCTCCTGCGCCAAAACGACATGTAGCATTGTCGTCGTCGTCGTCATCATCATCAACAACATGATGGCTCTGCCCATTTTTCTGTGTCGTAATTTTTTTTCGCTTCTGCTAAAAGTGAGTGGGGTTTGAAGTTAAATATTGGGTTGCTTGAGTGAGAAAGAGATTTGTTTTTGTTCTGAATTTTGGGCTAGCCGAAATTAATAATAAATGTGTGCAACTACCAGCTATAACCAACCATCGGCCATTCAATTTATGGTCAATGTATTAATTTCACCGTCCTCCTGCCTGCCCCTCTCTCTTTTTGGGATCTAGTTGTGAACGTAAAGACTCACTCTTGCATTTTCTTTATTCAAATTTGTATGTTTTTATGGAAGGACCACAAACAATTTCATTTCATAAACAGTGTTTTCTATTTTTGCTCACTCTAACGACCTACCATTCAAATCTCGGGTAGTATTTAAGTAACAAAAATACCCTTAGTATACTCTAACTTTATCACACAACACCAAACTCATTCGAGAACTTGCTGTGATGAGTTCGAATTCTGAACAACCACAGTTCATTACAAGCACGGGAAATTGAAGCTTCTCAAATGCGCCGCTGATTGAGAACACAGATACAGAAGGCAACCCCAAATTGTTTGAAATAAGCATCAAATGAAATGAAAGATTTACTTCTTTGTATATCTTTATAAGAAATTCCATGATCTGTCTTGGAAATTTTTTGTGTGTACTCTTTTGGTAATGGGATTAGCTCAAGCAGACAGGATGTTTCACGTTGCATATGGAAATGAAGTAAGAATGACAAACATATAGGTGGTTTTCATCGATGCATCACCTTGTAATTGCAGAGGGCTACTGGGGATGTTGGGTTTGCTTCTCCCTAAATTAATTATACCGTGAGATTGGATGAAGTTGGATTAAGGTTGAATATAGTGAGTAGGGTTACATTTGTTTCACAATTCAATATTTTCTTTTCAGTCATTTTATATTAGGGAAAAAATATCAAATCCTACAAATCATGCATGGATACAAATGCATGTGTCAATGATCAAATTAAATTAGTGGATTCATCAAAATTGTCCACTAGTTTTTGTTTTTCTTCTTGACATTGACACTAGTTATCGGGTAGCGAGAGTGTCCGTTTTCAGTAAATATTACCCTACACTTTCTAAATGATTAGTATTAGGCTATGATGAATATTTCACCATTACCAGCACTGCCATTTACTTTTTTCAAATTTGTATGTTTTCTTGTAAAGACTAGAAATAATATCATATAAGTATATTTTTCTCACTCTAACTACTTACCATTGAAATCTCCATCACTACAACACTATCACATAAACGCTCTAATTAGTAACACATGTATGGAACGACCCAAATTTCACTACGTGCCACGGACCTACGGTACTACCATTAATCCCCCTTTTCTAGACCAGGCTAATTATGTGTGATCCACTGGCAACCACGCGTAGGAGCCCTTTTTTGTTGGCTTGCGGAATCAGACCGATCCGGCCGTGTGTCAATGCGTAGGAGCCCGCCCTTGTTGAGCTCTAACAACGTCCTCGAATCTAAACCCTCTTGAATGTTGTGGAATTAGTTTTCCAGTCAAATTTTTTCGGGTGTCTTGATAAAATTTTAGTTTCAACTTTTCTTTTCATGGTTTTAAATTCAAAACAAGGTTTCTAACTATCATTACAAACTTCCAGAAATCAAATTTTGGGTTTGGGTTTGAAAGAAATTGAAAAGCTATTGAATTACAGGGTGCTGATTTCAGAATTCATAGTGTTCATAAGGTTTGTCGTTGGTCGGAATTCAAGCTCATTGAAGACTCTCTTGGTTATTTGCTTAAGATATTTTCGTTTCATGCATGCATTTCATGTTCATAACATACATCTTAGAACCTTGGCTTTTAGGGTAATCTTCTTATGCATTGTGGATGATGGGACAGCTTGTCTAAGGGAGGAGTAACAAAAGTGAAAACTAAAACTAAAAACTAAAATTGTTTTGAAATTGTTTTACTTTTAAGTTTTTATTTTCACTCTTGTTATTTCTCCCTCCCATGCTCTCTCTCAATCTCATCCGCACTCTCATTCTCATTTTTATTATCCTCTATGCTCCAGCACAAAAAATGAAAACTGAAAACTAAAATTGAAATGATTATTAAACGGGTCCTAAACTCTTACCATTTGTTTGGATGAGGGAAAATAATTAGGAATTTAGCTAAAAATTCGGGAATTTAAGAGGAGAAATTGACAATTCTTTTGTTTCGCAACTTAGTGCAAAATTTATTAAATGACATGAGGAAAAAATCGTGGAAATTGAGGCATCAAATTCCCGAGTTTAATTTCCACCAAAATATGTGTCATTTCACAATTTTTATAGTGTCATTTACAAAATTCAACATACATAAATCCAAACACAGAAATCTTCAATTGCCAGAAATTAAAATGATGAAAATCTAAATTCCGTCATTTTCAATTTCTTCATTCAAACAAAGGATTAGAAATTCATCTCATACCTTGTGTTGTGCAAGCGATTTTTGTCATTTAATTGCTATATAAATAAATTCATTTTTTACGCCAGGGACTGTATTTGTCTAAACAAGATGAAGAAGATGTTATCTATATAGCTAACTTTTCATCACAGTGACAAACATGCAGTTCCGATATATGGAATTGTTTTGCAGAATAGTTTTAGAAAGAAAGTTGGAATATACCTCAAATCGAATATCCTTGCCAGAGCCAAACTTTAGTTAAATCGCATATAGCACATTAGGATTGAACTCTTTCATGCTGTACGATGTTTTATTTTTGTTCTTTTTCTCTCATCAATCCCGGGGAAATTTAAATAAAATTATAAGGGCCCGTTTGATAATTATTTCAATGTTAGTTTTTAGTAGTTTTTATTTTTTGTGCTAGAATATAGAAGAAAGAGGAAGAATGGAGGTGATAATTAATGAGAGTGAAGATAGGATTGAGAGGGGAGTATGGGAGGGAGGAGTAACAAAAGTGAAAACAAAAACTGAAATCTATTTGAAATTGTATTGTTTTCACTTTTGTTACCCCTCCCTCCCATCCTCTCATTCCCTCCTCTCTCTCATTCTCATCGTCACTCACATTTTTACTCTCATTCTCCTCTATACTTTAGCATAAAAAATAAAAACGTTAGCAAACGAGCCCTAAATTATTAGAATACAAAACGGAAATCATTAATCTATCCGAAAACTTATGCGGCGATGTCACCAACCAAAGCTGAAATGTGGAATTGGCTGTACCGTGGACGAGCTGCAGCATCTCATAATTATTCCAAGTATCTTCCATCAGCTTCGGCATTTCCAACTGTCTGTTTTCGTATATATAGACATGCACGTACACTTTTTAAAAAAAAAACAAGATAGCAGCTAGGTTTTTCTCCTTCACACTAATGCTTTGCTAAGTTTAAGTTCTTGAGTTTGTGGGGATCACCAACGTCTCATTGCTTTTGGCCAGCTTCATATAACATTTGTAAGTATTTATGATTGTGTACAATACATATTTCTTCTTGCAAGCTGTGTCGAATAAATTACTGTTCTTAGACTAACCTCCCCTCGTTTTATAATGGTTATTTTTCAAAATATATTGTATGGATATTTGGAGAAGAGTTTTCTTATAGCAACATGCACGCATTACGTAAGCACTACGTAATATGTTACGTCATAAGTATTTACATGTTGAATCTCATTAATTGTCAATTAATTTAGAGTTGAATGCTCCACATCTTAATAATACTGAGTATGTCGTAACACCATGTTATACGCAACATGTCATGACTAATCCACTCATATAATAATCCAAGGTGGGCAACGAGCATATAACATGAATAAATGTACACATATAATAATATATATTCATAACATCATGCTGGGATACCACATGGTAGTGCACCAAAAAAGGAATTGATCCAAGTATGAGACACTATTTAAATTAAGTAATGCATCTTGTAACGCAGTAAAGAGCATTCATGCTCTCAAGTCTAAGAACTTCTTTCTCACCTCATTTTCGTATTAAAGTTCTTTTTTATATTAAATACCAGATACAGAGAAGAGCTTAGCTCCTCCACCAATGGTCATCGTGGACTTTGTTGTCTACCTCAATCCACTTTTCTCTCTTTCTCACTCCCTTAATTGGCCTGAAAGGTCGGCCAAAGAGAGAGAGAGAGAGAGAGAGAGAGGGAAGGGTTGTAGTACTTGTTGTTAGGGGAGGGGACAGGGAGGATATTCGGGGAAGGGGGAGTCACCGGCAATGGGAGGTATAGTGATAAATAGGGTATATTGGACTTTTGAAAGTATAGGATTCGAAGTTAGAATTTCTTTACAAATAGAAGTAAAATTAAATCAAGAACTAGTTTGTGAGTAAATTGAATTTTAAAATTTAAAAACGTACCAATAGAATTTCCTATTGGGCAAAAGAGAAGAAAAAAAAAAATCCTATTACGTAAGCACCTCACATGTTGTAGATTTGAATTTTAATATATATTATTTGAGAAAAGAAATATATTTGAATTTATGATATAACATTATGTAATATTTTTCTCTAAAATAAATATAATTTAATAAATGAACTTGAGACGGGTTGGTCCGGCCTATTAGGCCCAATTATCTCGTCTCGGCCTATCTAAAGATACGGGCAATACCGTGTTGGGCCTTACTTAAGCGGGTAGTGCTTGTTCAATGCTCTAGCCCACTCCAACCCAAGTATAGATTCGCCCTTGAAGGAGGTTGAATTTGTGAGAAATTAAAAAATTTCTTCAGATAAATAGGGATGAGGGATTCGAAATTAAAATCACTTCCAAAATCCACTATTAAACCAAAAGTTAGTTTGTCAACAGACCAGCATGTTCATCTTGTATCAATTATCAAGTCATGTTTAGTCAATATAATTCAACTCAGTGTTGGGGTGTGGGGGAAACATAATCAACTAGCTATAAATTTAGCGACACTTCTTGTCTAAGAGTGGAAGACATACCAAATTAAAATCTCTCATCCTTATTAATAAATCAATGAAAAATAGACATGGGGCCGTGTGGAGAATTACTTAACATGGTTTGTCCTATTGCTTTTGTCCAAAGTCGAAAAGCAATTTATCCCTAATGCGGACTTAACCAAATTTTTGTCACTCAGGCTCAAGTTTACAAGCATCAAAGCATAAACTTCAACTTTGATACCAT